ACACACACACACACACACACACACACACACACACACACACACACACACACACACTCAGACAGAGGGTGTTAGATGTGAGTTGCCATGCATGATGAAAAACAGTTGTTCTGCATTAATTAAGACACAGATCATTTTATTTGGACACAGCAGAAAAGTGTTCTCACCTGCATTCCTGAGCTTCTTGTTCCTGTACACGGACAGGATGACCAGCACGTTGCCCAGAATGTCCACCACGATGGTGAAGATCAGCACGCTGGCCAGCGCAGTGGACACCCCGGCGGGAGACGCGCTCAGCCCGCCGCAGCCGCTCTCGTTCAGGGAGCAGTTCACATCCGTCACCTCCAGATCCATCATCCCGTCCCTCCCGTGCGCTCAGGACGCGGCGGCCATCGCGGTGCCAACAGCCTCGCCTCCCGGTGCTCAGTGGAAACGGGGGGAAAGCGCGGAGCGGGAATCCGAAGGGACCTCTCGGAGAGGACTCTGGAAGTTTTCGGGACGGGAATCCACGCGACTCCTCCGTCCGTGGAGTGGAGCCATGACACGATGGTCGCCCTCCTTTTTTTTTCCTTTTGTTCTTTTTTTTACGCACGAAGGGACGTTTGGGTGTTTAAGCAGAAAGGTGAAGATGAAGGCTTCCCCGTGCTCTCCTCTTCATCAGTCAGTGGCTCTCCTGTGTGGCGCTGCTCCATCCCGGCAGGACTCATGTGAACCGTGCGTAATGGAAATGTGGGCAAAGGCGCGCGCGCGTAAGGACAGTAGCCTGTTTTTTATACATATCCCTGACACTTCTGTTGAACTATTTGTTCCTCTCCTCTGTAAAAGCACACAGATCGACAGACTTGTTAAAAACATGCCGGAATATTAAAATAATTAGCCGCTCGCGCCTTCATCCTTAATGGGATCAGACTGGACGTGGAGCCGCGCGGGATCATGTTGCCTGTTTGACCTGACTGATCTGTGTCTGCAGCTGTTAAACACTTGCATTAGTTTCTTCCAAGTCTCTCATTGAGAGGAAAAAAAAGGCTTCCTGTGGTGCGCATGGAAATGGCGCCTTCATGTGTCCAACTGAGACTCTTACAGTTAAAAACATTCAACACAAAGAGTGCATTYATGACAACAGAGATGAGTTTATTTAAATGAAAGAACTCAGACCTGTTTAATTATTTGTTTTATAGTCTACACGTTGCACCTTTTTACTGTAATGTGAAATTCTTGCTGCAATTCTCATTTGAAACTTGCTTCATTCTATCTACATATGTTTGTTTACAAACAGACTAAATGAAGAACCGTTTGCCTCTGTGATAATTAACTGCAAATTTTCATCAACCAAACTGCTACATGATTTATTTATGAAAATAAATCTTTTCTACACGTCTTATTTTTGAAGCAATGGCTGTTTGGAGTTTAAAGCTTCTTCTCTGAGGCTGGTCCCCATATAGCGAGTCAGCCATTTTAAGTAGTGTTCACATTTCCATGAGCTTGTATAAAACCAGCACACAGCTGCGCTCGCTGACCAAGTTGACAATTAAAGGCCTAGCATGCCTTAAAGGAATGCACATCACCCGCCGCCGTTCAAGCCAGCATTTCAGACAGAGGCCCAGTTTACAAARCATACTTTTTAATTCCATCCCAGCATTTCTGCTGCGGTTTGGCCTTTCATCTTCACAACAACAAAATCCTTTTGACCCCATGTCTCAGAGTGGAGGCTTTTGGAGTCACAGCTGCAGTCAAGAGTTTTTCTGCACATAAATGAAAAACAGTATCAGATATAGTGCTGCTAGTGCTATACTCATCATCAGGAGCAAACTAGCCTATGTACTGTATATACACAGTATATATGTTAGTTCTTTATATACTGTATATATATACAGTATATAAAAGGATGAACTGATGAACTCAACATCCTTTCAGGAACTATGGCGGGTGGTGGTTGGGGACTTATTTCACAGTCTTACTCAAAGGTTCATACATGCACAAACAACATACGGCTTCAGATACCCCCAACATACATACATACATACATACATACATACATACATACATACATACATACATACATACATACATACATACATACATA